GAATTACCCATGTTATTCGTAACAGTCAGATCAGCAAAGGCCAAGAATTAATACAAGTAGTGCCATACATCATGAAAAAAAACAGCTAGCGGATGAAAAAAAAACAGCTGTAGTGTGCATATTAAATAGCCTCTCAATCTAAGTACATGTGGAGCTTCAGATTTTTCGCTCGCTATCATCCTGTCCCTTTTTGAACTCAGTCTTTATGCGTTTTTTTGTAGCTATGCAATGCAGAAAACGCATATTGACGAGGGGTTGTCTGTGTGTGTGTGTGTCTGCATGTCCGTGTGTGCGTCTGTCATGGCTTTTCATCTCAGGACCTACAAAAGCTATAGAGCTGAAACTTTGGGGACTTAATTCACATGGTCGTAAGGGCTCCACTCTCCAGAATGGGGCTCTTACCCGCGTGGTACCCACGTACGGGCCCCTGAAAGTTTTTTGCGGGTAAGTCGCTAACTCGAGAACCAGAAAGGCTGGAAAGCTGAAGTTTTAAGGGGAATATCCACGTAAGTCTCAGTAAGCTCAGTCCCAGACTCCGGGTGTGCGTGGTACCGATGTCCGGGTCCACCAAAATTTCTTCCGGGTAAGTCGCTAACTCAAGAATTTGAAAAGCTAGAAGACTGTAGTTTTAAGGGAATGTTCTCCATTCACGTAGGTATTAATCAGCTCAAACCTAGCCCTCCGGGTATGCGTCATTTCCACGTATGGGCCCGTGAAAGACTTTTCCGTGTAAGTTGCTAACTCGGGGACCTGAGAAGGTAGAAGACTGGAATTTCGAAGATATGTTTCCTGACAGCCCTGGCAGTCAGCCTGAAATTCTTTTAGCTAGAAGCATCTGCTGGAAAAAACAGCGCTGTTAGCGACAAAAATCTGCGGGGAACTATGCAAAAAACGCGTCTAATTATTAGATTTGCAATGACCTCTTACCTCACTTCATGTGCAATAGCATTTTATCCTTCTCTTTGAACTCAATTCCTAGATTTGCGATGACCTCCAGCTCTTGAAGATATGGCTATAAACAGTTCAGTTCGATAAGATTAGCTTATTTTGATGATACTGCAGCGGCGATTATCCTCAATTATCCGATTCTGGGACGTTCCAGCTAATTGCAGCTATGCTAAAGGGCTATTCAGAGTAAAGTGTAAACAGTAAAAAATAATTTAACGAAAACGAACTGACTGCTAAAAAAATCCCCAAGGAATGTTCAGAAGCACCGTCAGGTGAGATTATATGAAGCAATATCTCTGCAAAATCTCCGTCAAAAGCCGGCCGCTTTTTTTACCGCAACTTATTACAAGCAGCTGAAAAGAGAAATTCGATTCGCTCACTAATCGTGTGAACTTTCGCCTCCTCTTCTAGAACGAATGGAAATACAGAATTCCGACTTGTCACAAAAAAAAAAACTCTTCAGCAGTCGTGCGAACTTCCTCCCCCTCTTTTCGAACAGGTGAAAATCCTGAATTTCGATTTGTCACAATTAAAAAAAAAACTCAGTTAGCCAAAGGAGTTGTTTTAGCTAATTGCAGAAGCCATTTGTCTGCTCTTTTTTTCTTATTTGAAAAATAAAGTATTTAAAAGTAACAGAATGAATATTTGATTTTGTCCAATTATCGGGGAAAAAATCAATTGCAGG